GCTGTCCAGGGATCGAGCCATCTTCCTTGAGGCCTTCACTCTGCTGCTCAGTGTGCAGCAAGTGCTCATCCCAGCCAGCCCAGTGCTTTTCCCAGCCCTGCCTGCCAGTCAGTTAAATATCTTACTTGTGCCTCTCTCAGCAGTGACACGCCTTGGTGTGTCACAGAGCTGCCTGCCATCCGAGGGACACGGCCACAGTCCCCCTGCTGTGTGCTATTCTGGTGATGGGAGTGCTGCTGCATGACTGGTAGCTTGAAAATGGGTTCAGCTATTCCCCTGGTTTATATAACCTCAAAGCAATTTGCTTTCATAGCTGAACATGCTTATTCATTCTATTTTAACTGTGCATTGAGCTATAAATAATGTCTCATTGCAGATAAGAATCTATTGAATTTTATTATTTGTTTTCGTACCTTGGGAAGATTTTCTCCTGAAGGAGACTTTCCCAGCCCTAGCAGTGAAGCTGCCTGCCTGACTGTGTCCTCTGTCAACCACGAATGGTGTCAGCCCCAGGTCAGCTGCCACTTCCCTGCAGCCACCTCCTCATTGCTCCTGCTTGGGCTGTGGCAAAGATGAGACAAGTGCTCAGTGATGCAGAGCTGAGATCACTGAAGTGTTAGGGAAGCTGATTAAACCAATGATTTCCTGTTCCTCTGATCAGCTGCAGGTTAATACCTCAGCGTTACCTCCAGCCCACCTCCCCTGCAGTGCATTCACTTCAAAGAGCAATAACCAGGGTCAGTGTCCAGCCAAATTGTGTGGGTTGCTGCCTCCTTTTTCTGGTGTTCATTGTAGCATTGTCCTGCTTCTCATGAGTTACTCCTGTCTTCTGTAGTGAAGCCCTGACCTGACATCCTCATCATCCAGAAACTTCTCAGAGCCGGAGCACAGCCCGAGCTGGGCAGGTGAGGGATGGAGATGTGTCCTCAGAGCTGCTGTGGCTGCTGAGACCCTCATCTGGTCCAGGCTGCACACAGCAGGGAAGGGGATGATATTTGGGCACCTGATTTTCCCTGGTGCAGATAACTTTTCTTGAGATTCAAATGCTGCTGCTCTTCTGGAGAAGGGTCGTGGTGGCAAAGTGCTGGGCTCCTGCAGAACTGAGGAGACTTTGAAATCATTGAGAGCTAATAATGTCTTGAAATGTGGATGGTTTAGTCTGTTATGATGCCAATAGTGGTTTAGATGGTTTATTTTAACAATGATTACAATCCACTCCTTCTGTTGTACATGTTACTGGTCACCCCTGTAAAAACATTCTGGGAGTTCTTTGTAGAGCTGTGACTCTTTAGTAAAAGCTGGAGGAAAATTCTGAGAAGACTCTCCTGGGTCATAGAGAAATATTATGATTTTTTTATTAATAACAGCTATTTATAGGGGAGAAAATTATATAAGTACAACATAAATAAAATAATTCAAGTTGTAAGAGCTCTCCAGAGATCTCTGGCTCAAGCCCTGCTTAAAGCAAGGCCAAAGTCAGAGGCAGGTCAGGGTGCCCAAGGCCTTTCTTTTTCAGTTGGGTTCTCAATAGCCCTGAGGAAGGACATGCATGGCCTCTCTGCTTTCTGTGCTTGATCGTACTCATGACAAGGAATAATTCCTCAGAATTCCTTCAGAATTTAATCCTTGTGCCATACAGTTTAGAGAAGACTCTGGCTCTGCCTTGTCTCTGACTCCATCAGGGAGCTGCAGACAGCAGTGTGATCCCAGTAGCCATCTATTCCCCAGGATGGAGAAGCCCAGCTCCTTCAGCTTTCCTGGAATGCCCTGTGCCCCTGTCCCTGGCAGGCTGCCTGCCCCTGCTGGACTCGTTCCCGTGTGTCAACATCTGCCCTTGTAGTGGGGCCAAATTCATTCAATTCATTGCATAAGTAACGTGAAACCATGTTAGCCTTCACCTGCAGGGTACAAAGTTCTGCCCATGGTCTTATTAGCTCAGGAAAACATCCACTGGCATTACCTGGATCAAGCTCTATTTAATAAGTTCATAAACACATGGATATGTTTTGATAGGGAGATGTTTTTAATCATATCAATGACTTTGTTTGCTTTATTGCTCAGTTCAGATGAGGCCTTCAAGCACTGGGTGAGAGGCAGAGCTTCCATTTGTGCTGCATTGGTTTCTCCAGGCATGCAGCTCAGTGCAAACAGTTATTGGCCACTCTGTGGCCAAAAGAAAGCCAGAGATGAAAACTGTAGCCTGAATTGTGTTTAGCAGGCATTTTGGAGTGATTAGAGGCATTTTCATGGAAGAGCTGCAACCAATTGGTATTTCCCACCTTTACAGCAATTATTTGTTAATTAAATAATGTGTCAAACCCCGGGAGTGTTTAGAAAAGTGTATTAAATGATTTGCCATTAATTTATCAATGTGTTATTTATGCTGAGGAGTTGCATATCTGCTAAGAAAATTCTTCAACCTCAGTTTTGATTTTTTCAGAGAATAGGAAATCGATACTGGCAAAAAAAAACTGTAATGGGAAACGTAAAACAAGGATTTACATGAGTAAGTCAGAGAGGATGTTGTATAATGGCCAAATTCTGCCCTGGTGGGATTTGGCCATTATACACAGACCTTATGGTGCTCAGGGCCATAACAGGCAGCACCCTGAGCTGTGGCACTGCCTTTGCTTACCTGCAGATTGCAGAATCATAGAATTTTTGGGTTGGAAGAGAGCTTAAAGATAATTTTGATCCAACCCCTCTGCCGTAGGTAGGGGCATTTTCCACTGTCCCAGGGTGCTCCAATCCCTGTCCAGCCTGGCCTTGGACCCTTCCAGGGATGGGGCAGCCCCAGCTGCTCTGGGCACCCTGTGCCAGGACTTCCCACTAAAGAATTTCTCCCTGATACTTAATCTAAACCTTCCCTCCTTCTGCTTAAAGCCTTTCCATTCCCCCTTGTCCTCTCACTCCATGCTCTTGTCCAGAGTCCATCTCCAGCTCTCTTGTAGGATCTCTGCCCTCGTGCAGGCTGCTGCTCACAGAGGATTTTCCTTCAGCCAAATGGCCATTAGCCATATGCTGCATCTGACTTTGAGGATTAGAGGGCCATAATGAAGTGGATTACAGCAGATCAGTGGCAGGATTGCAGACCAAATCCTCTTTCTAACTGTTCTTCCAGGAGCAGCTAAGGCCTGAGAGACCTGTCCTGCAGCAGCACAGCCAGCTGTGGGGTTTTTCCATGCTGGTACCAGAGGTGGGATAATCTGGAGCTGTAACCCTGGGTGGGGAGGCTGTGGATGCTGAATGGCTGCAGGGCTGTGCAAATGCCTGAACCTGGGGATTTCTGGGTGAAATCCCCCACTTTTGTGGCTTGCCTAGGGGATACCTGTGGGGCTCAGGTGTTGCCCAGTCACCATTTAATTGCTGCAGATTTGAGTCTCCCTGAAGTGTCTGTAAGTGAGAGAGTGAAATAAGGCATCTGCTGGAAATCCAACAGGCATTGTGGTGGTCAGAGAAAATCTGAGTTGCTTGGGGCCAGTGCCAGACCTAGAGCTGAACCCAGGAGTTGAAGTGGAAAATTTTTCAGTGGTGTAACACGTGCCAGACTTTGGCAGGAAAATGCTCTCCACTCATCAGGAGAGGTTGGTCTTGCCCAAAGGACAGCACTGTCCAGGGCTGGGGCTGTGAAGGCTGGTGAGGATCGTTTGGAGAGGTCTTGGTTGGATGAGGGAGCTGCAAATTCCATATTTAACCCAGAGGGATGTAGCCCCCTCCAACTCTGCACAGGAAAAATCAGCAACTGTGACATGCAGGGAGCAGCTTCAGTAACTCCTGCACATGCTCAGGGAAAAGAGTTTGGCTTCCAGAGATGCTGCTCACAAAGCACATCAGGGCAATACATCCTGAAGATGTGCCAAATCTGTCTGAAATATTCATGCATGCTCCCTGTAATTTATAGAAACAATCACAGCAGCATAATTATTTCGATGCTTCTCCATGTGAAGAATCTCATCTCTTGGATGTGAAAATGTGACCTGCATATCCCCACAGCCATGTTGTGGCCTTCTGGGTGTGCCAGGAGAGGTGATTCCATGCAATATCCAATATATCCAGGTAAGGATCAAAATATACCGTTTAGACTACTGTGGTGGAACAGACAACAACACATTTGTTTGGGGTGAATTTCAATGATTTCAGATGAATTTCATTTGTTTTATGGGTGGTGCCTTGTTCATTAAAGGCAGAACCTGTAAAGCACTGTTTGCTCTGCACCTCCCAAAATTCTGAAGTCTACCCTAAGCACAATGCTTAGCTCCAGTGATCCCCCAAAAACCCCAATCCTTGACATTTTGAACCTGTGAAAAGGATGGGCAACAGGTTACAGGCAGAACCACTCCTGCAAAATTACAGCTACTAAAACAGCTGAGGTGCAGACCTGCTCCTAGGCAGGAGCAATTTGGAGATGACACAAAGGCTGGTGGTGTGAGACAGACAGGGAAAAGGGGACAGATTCTATATTTTAATTATCATTTATTATTTTCATAATTATCATTTATTATTTTCTAAAATATCTGCAAGAGGAAAGGACCTACTGTACTTTCAGGTGTAGCTGGTGCAATGTAAATAGGTTCCAAATCCTCAGTGTCTTTTGTTCTTCAGCTGGCTTGGCAGAACACCCTGAATCCGTGTGTTTAACTGGGACTGGGTCTGTAAATAAGTGCTCCCTGTTGCTAAGGTTCAAGTGACATTTTTAGTGGCATTTGACAGATTTTTAACCTGCTTTCAAGTCTTCTACTGAGCTCTTCTATACCCAGGCAGTGAAACTGTCATGAAGCCTTGGCTTTACTCAAACTGATGCTAAAAACCTTTGGATTCATGGGTCGGACACAGTCCTGCCAGGCTTGCCTGACAAAGCTTAACTGGTGCTGCTGATGGCAAAGCCACACCTGAGCTGTGTTTGTACCTAGAGGTGATTATCTGGGAATGTGGGGAGAAAAACCCACTGAAAATCAGAAAGGAAAGCAGAGACTCAGCCTGGCCTGCAGGCAGGCTGGTACTGCTTAAGCTGTCCCTGATGGGAGATGTTGCTCTACAAGAGACAAATCAGTGGCCTGCTCTTTATTCCCCTCAATCTTGTGCTCCTTGCACTTCCACTAGAATCCCAGAGAGGTTTCTTTTGTCCCAAAGGCTGTTTGTTTTCTTTTGACCACTCAGAACTTGTGATACTTGTCTTGATCTATTAACCAGGTGTCCAGCCAAAATCAATTGCCTGGCAGGCTCAGACCATTACCCGAAAAGTCAAGACCTCCATAAATATTCCCGGCCTCATTGTGCTGGTGACAGATTCTGCAGGTTGTTTTATGTTACAGTTGAACAGTTTAGACATTGCATTTGTATATATTTGCAGGCAGCCCTGCAGGGACCATCTCTGAGCAGAGTGGGAGCAGCAGCCTGCAGACTCCAGCACCTCCAGCATGACCAGGGCAGGAATTTTGGTGCTCCTCTCCTTCGCGCTTTGCTGCGCCCCAGGTGAGTGATTCTCCAGGGTCTGAGTCCTGGCTGCCTTCAAAGGGATAAGGCAGAGGATCCAAAAAAAGGAAATCTCCTTCAGAGGGCTCTGCTGCCTCGGTTGGCATCGTGCAGGTTGCAGGAGTGTATTTCAGGATAGTCCTCAGTGGCTCGCTGCTGTAGCTGGTGGTTTGTCATAAATATAAGTAACAGCAAGTGGAGTTCTGTGATGGCAACTCGTGCTGTTACACTTTGTACACTGATGTTCTCACACCATTACACTGCTTAGGCTTGTACAATTACAGAAAATGGATGAATACTTGAAATAAGGCCATGAGAAGGGGGTCAGACCTCTGGTAACTAGTAAGGAAAATATTGTAATGGCACAAGCAAGTTCTCTGCAAGGCCCTGGCAAATTTCCTGCAATGCTCTTTCTGCTAATGGAACAGCAAGAGATGAAAACAAGCCAGACTCTGATGTTCTCACTGCATATTCACAACTGATGAAATTACAAAGCCAAAGATATTTTTTTCACACTCACCTTCTTTCAAATGCATATTTCTGTCAACAGATGCTGTATGTATTTGCTTATCCTGTAGGTGACTATTTGCATTTGTCTCTGTTGATTCAGGTGTATTTCCAGATACATAACAGCAGCGCTTTAGGGTCAAAGCGGATATGTAAAAAGATAAGGAAGGAAAAGCTGTTCTGTTTTCAATTAATAAATCTACATGTCTCAGAACAAAAAAAGAACAAAGCTATTCAAAAAGGTGTTTCATCATAGCCAGCAATAAGCAATGCTATTATGCTTATCAACATAGAGGAAAAAAAATCATACATCGTTTATTTAGCTCAAAAACCAATCACTAGAAATCATTTGGCTTGGTCCTGCACACAGGAATTTTATATCCATATTTCCAGCTTTAATTGAGGTCTTATCACATTGGCTTTTGTTCATACTTTCTGCCTCTCTTTTCTTTTCCAGATACTGTCTTTGGGATTGAGGTAAGTGGAAGATTTCTTTCTGTCACCTTTCTCAAGTATGTGGCCTGATAAAGGTATAACCAAAGGAATGGGAAAAACGTCCAGCCTGTAAATGCTCAGCTGTTTTTCACCCAAGTGTCACACTCCGGTCACTGTAATCAGATCCTACAGTGTAAAACATGAAATCATACTGCCCTGGGCTGTACATCTATGCTGTATGTTAATAATGTTTTAGTAGTAATGATACAATATTTTTGGATTAATTAATTTTTCAGCAACTTTAGACTGGTCTAAGCTTTAAGCTGTAAATATATTGCTGGTTCTAAATTAAAGCAATAGGCTAGCATCAGAACCTACCTGAGAGCAACCTACTGAAATACTAAAATACTCTGAGCTGATCCAGCTTCCTCACAGGTCTTGGTCTTCTGAAAAAAACCATGATTAGTGTATAAAGAATGAAAAAATAAAACCAGAGGTGCAGTGTAGGGGCCACAAGAGTACAAGAACTAGAGACCAATGGAGGGCCTTTATAAAATCATGTCAAGTGAGCGTGAGAGACCAGCACTGGTTTATCCCATCCAAGGGGCTGCATGGTTATAGCTCTTCCCTCCTCCTCTTCTCCTGCTCTGTGGGAACGTCTCTGCAGGATGGATTCTCCTGAGGGACCCACAGCAGAAGTTTGTGCTGTGGCAGTGAGGACTGGTTGTACCAGCCCAGTGTCCCACACACAATGAGAGTTATGAACATCTCAGGTTTTCTCATCCTGTTGCTGTGATTGCTGTGGCAGGTGGACTGCAGTACCTATCCCAACACCACAAACGAGGAGGGCAAAGAGGTGCTGGTGTGCAGCGAGGCCGTCAGCCCCATCTGCGGCTCCGACGGCGTCACCTACGGCAACGAGTGCCTGCTCTGTGCCTACAACGTGTATGTTCTGCTTGGGGACACTTGGGGACACATGGGGACAGCGTGGGGACCCCAGGCAGCACGGCTCAGGGCTCCTGGCAGCACCACAGCTCACCAGTCTGTCACACATCACCAGTGTCAATTCCTCCAAAATGAGCTTGGCTATCATGGCACAGCGCTCAGGCAGAGCTTTAGTCACTGTGTCTTTCTTTTGCTTCTGTAATTTATTCAGGTTTTTTCTTCTCTGTCTCAAGGAGTGGCCAGGTGATGGCTCTGAGAGCACATCTCATCACAGCAAGAGGATAGGGATGCTCTGCTCAGAGCTGCCCAAAATGGCCCTAAAGCTTCCCAGGGTTTTACATTCCTGCCAGCTACTCAGCTGATGAGGGAGGGTGGCTCTACCTTCTCAAATACAGATATAAAAAAAGCCTGAGAAAGTCAGTTTTCCCTTGTATTAATTTTAGCACCTGGAATGTAACAAGATATCTCTGCTGAACTTCCTAACATTTGTCTTTCTCCCCTGCAGAGAATATGGAACCAATGTCAGCAAAGACCACGATGGAGAGTGCAAAGAAGTTGCCCCTGTAAGTAAAACCAAGGGCAAAACAAGGGGTGTCTCCTGCTTCTGAGTGGCCAAAGGTGCTTATTGAAATAATTCAAACCCTAAACAAGAACACAGATGAGCTGCCACAATCTTGCAGTGGTCACCTCCAAGTGAAGTGTCATCACTGAGACTGACAGAAGAGCTTTTCTCCTGCTGTGGTGCTGTCCTGTGTGGCCAGGCAGACACCCCAGATCCCCTTGTGTGCTGCCAGCAAGGCCTTCACCAGGGCTTTTTTTGTTCCCTGCCCAGGTGGATTGCAGCAGGTACCCCAACTCAACCAGTGAGGAGGGCAAAGTGGGGCTGATCTGCAGCAAAGACATCAGCCCCGTCTGCGGGACCGACTGGGTCACCTACGACAACGAGTGCCTGCTCTGCGCCCGGAGCCTGTGAGTGCTGAGCACAGGGCCTGGGGCTGCTCTTTTGGACAGCAGGACTTCTAACAAGGCCTCTTCTCTTCCTCCTGACTAAACCTTGTTGTCCTGTCATTAGAAGGAGAGCCATGCCTTTGGTGTAGGCTGAGAAGGGGAGGGCTGGCTGGGGATCTCACACAGGACAGGATGCTGCTCTTAACCAAGTTAAAAGGGTCTGTGTGGCAGACGCTGCCTTGCAGAGGACAACAGCTCACCCAGGGGGCATTGACATTGTCACACAGCCTGTCTCCTCATCCACCATGACCCCTGTCCCTCACATCTTGCTGTAAACCAGCTCTCTGGCAGGCAGTGACACCGCCTGAGCTGGTCCCTGGAGCCACATGGGCACAACCTCAGCTGGTGCCTCCTGTGTCCCATCCTTGTGCCAGGGGCTGCTCAGCATTGCTGGGTGATGGGGCTCAGCGGGACAGGCTGCTCGCAGGACTCCCTAATGCAGGTCTCTTCCCTTCCCAGGGAGGCTGGAACCAGCATTGGCAAGAAGGCTGACGGTGAATGTAAGAAGGAAATTGTTGCAGTAAGTGATTTGGGTGATCAGGGCTGGGTTTTGGTGCTGCTGCTGTCAGGGGAAGCACTGCCAGTGTCTGCAGCAGCCCCTAGATCCTGCAGAAGTGAAACAGCTGCTGTGGTGCAGAAGGGGAGAAGTTTTGCCTTCTCTACATGCAATAAATGTTATTTGTGTGAAAGCCAGGAAAGGAGCAGGTGATGGCTCAGGAAGGAATGAGTAAAAGAGTAGTAGAAATAATCCATCAGGGCAGAACTGTGAATAGCAACAGAGAATGGCTTTTGGGGTCAGACCAATGCTCCATCTAGCCCCTGGCAACTTGGTGCAGAGCCTAAGCCTAGTGCAGTCACTAAGCCTTGATAGATTTCTCCTCCATGAAATTCCTCAGCCTCTTCCTGCACCCAGACACATTTTTAGCCCTACAATTCTCCTCAGCAAGTGCAGCACCATTGCTCCAGGAAACAGAATCCCACTCTTGCAGTACCCAGCCACCTGCTGATCTTCCAGTTTTAATACTCCAGGAGGGATAGTGGACCTTTATAGAGGATCAGCACTCCATTTCTCCAGACACCAGTGTTTTTCCATTTAATTTCCTGGCCAGCTTGGGAACACAGAGCACGGCACCTTCACCGAGTGAACTGCTGCTGCTTGGAAATGCCATGGCCAGGTTATGATATACATCTCTTCAAACAGGAAATTATGATCTATTTTTATATTATTAAATTCTCCTGGCATGGGAGAAACTGACACCTCAGTTTATATCAGATGTGCAGGGAAGTTAATTACGTTTGGCGAGATTGGTATCACTAGCACTGCAGCTCTAGCTCAGGGTTCAAGCCCTTGTGTTACTGACTCCTCCACATCAGACTCTTTTATTTTTATTTATTTTTTACAGGTTGACTGCAGTGACTACCCCAAACCTGTCTGCTCACTGGACTACATGCCTCTCTGTGGCTCTGACAACACAACATACAACAATAAGTGTATCTTCTGCAACGCAGTCGTGTATGTACAAATATCAGTGATGTCTGTTTTATCAGTTGCCTCCTGTGGGCACAAGTTTGCACAGTTACTGCTTTTTTTGTTTGCTGGATACTGTTGATTAGGGATTTGGGGCAGGAGGGAATGCCAGCCACCATGTCAAGCGTTCATTTATTTTTTTCATTAGAGCATAAAAAATGCTACGGCTGCTTTGTCAGTGTGAATGGTTTGAAGAGCATTTAACCTAAATGGAATTTTTCTTGCATGCTGCAAAGGAAATGAAATTCCTTTCCTTTTGAAATTCCACTGTAGTTTCCCCACATATATTTTCAGTCTTAAGAATGGGTTAAATTGTTTCACTCATGTCTTAATAATCAAATAGCAAATGGGAGTCTGCAAGTTCCTTGGCTCTGGGGCAGGATCCCATCTGACACCATCTCTAGGAGCCATCAAAAAGACAAATTATAGCAGGCAGGACTCTGTGTTTAATTCATTCTTTCCTCTCCTTACTTCAGGGACAGCAATGGGACTATCTCTTTGAGCCATTTTGGAAAATGCTGAGTATAGTGCCAAGAGAATTCACCACAGGATCCCCACTGGAAAATCCCAGATAAAGATCTGACCTCAGTCCATCTCACCTTCTGGGGAACTCCGCTCACTCCTGATTTTCTTTCCCAATAAACTAAATCAGCAACATTTCCCTGTCTTCTTTCATGTGTTGTCTCACGAAACATTGCCTTGATTTGTTGGATGATGATACTGGGCAGAATAGGTTTCGTGCTCAAAGCTCTGGGATAGAACAAGAACATAATCTTCCTCCCTCCCTCTCATAAAAGACAAAAAATGAAATACAGATGCTGCAAGCCCAGAGCTGTGTGTCTTTGCACATAATGACAGTAATGTCCCTGCATTAGTGCTCGGACCCTTTAATGTTTGACGTTGCACAGGGCTGAAGGGGTGGCACAGGAGGGTCTCTCCTCAGGTGCTCCTGGTGCATTTTCCCTGTCAGCAAAGCCCGGTCCCACCTTGGTGTCACCGCCCAGAGCTGAGCCCTGGCTCTGCGCTCACCTCAAGTGCTGCTCTCTCAAGGGCACCCAGCTGGCAAACCCATATTGTTCAGACACCTGCATTGTCCCTGTCTATTTGTCCAAGTCCTCCAGCTGACTTATTACCAGATTTTTCTCATCCTGGAGTCGTCCTTTAAAACCTTTCAAGTTTTGAGATTAATGCCTTCCTAGGTGTGGTGCCTACTCCTGCCTACTTGTCTTCTCTCAGTCTTCAATTACACAATGTTCTCTGCCAGCCCAAGGAGTATTTCAGCAGTGTTTCAAAATCCAAGGACAAAGCATCCTTCTGTTTCTTGAGAGTGTGACCTGTCATTGGCGTATTGTGCTTGAAATTTATTTTGCTTTTGTCTTCTGTTTGAGTATTGAATTGGGGTTTGGTTTTTTTTTAAATCCACACAAGAGAGTCATAAATAAATTGGGCTTATCCCTTCTAAAATGTAATATCTCCCACATGCATTTCTTCTGGGAGTCAAAGGGAGAGGGGTGCTTGTTATCCTGATGGAGGTTGTCCCAAAAAGCAATGCTTTGGTGGTAAAACAAAGGATTTATGTAGAGATGGGCAGATGGATGAAGCAGTGATTTCCAGATTGGGTTCAGCTTTTCTAGGATCCATGCTAGAGTCCCAAATCACTCTGTCATCATCATACTAAAAGTCTATTACTGCAAAGCTAATGGCTTTTAGGGGAAATAACAATTGTAAATTATTTTTTTCCATAGTCCCATAAAAGTTTCTCCATCCCTTGTCATTTTCTAGGATTCATTTCAGCATCTGGGATGCCCTCTTGCTTGCCTTCCTGGTCCATTGTTTTCCTGCTTTCACTATAACTTAGTGGTGTTTTACTTGGGAAGCACAAAAATAAAAGGAGAGCCTTTCTGCTATGGAAGCATTTCATTCAACGTTTTTCTCGTGAAAAATCACTGCACAAAAATAAGCAGTGATAGGTGAACACACAGAAAACCTGACAGAACTTTGCACAGTGGCTCTTTTGCCTGCAGGAATTTTCTGTGGTCCTTCAGGAGGAAACTGTCACATATTTCACTTAAAATAAGGACTCAGAGGGTGTATGTCACACATCTAAACTCCTCGTGACTCCCGTTGATGAAGAAACACCACTCTTGGCTTCCAGCACCGCTTGCCTCCACTGATATTACCACTGAGACAAAAGGCTGGAAGTGTTGCCCCAGGATAAGGGTGGATAAGGCAAATATGAACATGCACAAACACACACGCCCCCCCAGAGGTGCAGGCATACATATAAGCGTGGTTGGCACCCGAGGGCACAACCCAGGTGGTGTTTCCTGAGCAAAAGCCAAGCTCTGCTGCTCACAGCTCATCCAGCCACCATGAAGATCACGGGAGTGCTGCTTCTGCTCTCTCTGGCCCTTTTCTGCATCTCAGGTGAGTGGCTGTGCCTTGGAGTAAGCGCTGGCTGTCTTCAAAACCACAGAAAAACATCCTCAGACTGGAAAGAGCTCCGTTCTGCAAGGACTTATTTACTCCTAGAAAGATAGTGTTGAAAAGACTTGACATCAGAGACTATCACTTATGGGGTAATATTTTAGCAACAGAACTGAGTGGGTAAGAACAACTGTGGGAACAGCTCTACTCTCAGTGCTAGTTTATGCATAATGAAAGAAGTGACACGAACGTGGTGCAACCCGGAGACTCAGACAACCAGTACTTAACCTCTGAAATCTTGCAGAAACACAAATAATTCTGCTGAATGAAAGTGAACATTTCTTGCAGTCATCCTGAACCGAGGTGTAGTTTGAGAGCCTGAATTGCTGTAGGAGCTTTATAAATTCACCTCTCACTAAATACTATTCTTATTTTAAAATAATATTGGCAATGCATATAAGATGCCTCTGTGTACTTGTCAGCTTTATGTCCCTCTTTACCTCAATAATTTGCTTTGCTTTGAGTTCATGTCCTGTTCCATCCTTTGAACCATAGAAAATGCCTTTCTCTTCTTTTATTTTACACAGCTTTTTCCATTTTGACTGTAACCCTCATTAAATAAAAATACTACAGAATCAACATACAGTATGGCACAACATTGTGCCTGAAATTCCTTTTGTCTAAGAATAATTTGCTAGCACACAGGGAGTTGGAAGATATGTATTCAGGGCATGCATTCTCAGATTTTAACAGAATCTATGAATTACATTTGTAACATATTTCATTTGTTCTTCTTTTTTTTTTTTTTTTTTTTTTTCAGTTCAAGCTACTGGTGTGCTGCAGGTAAGGGACAGATTTTTCTATTCTCCATCCTTTCTTTCCTTAAAGCAGTTTCTGTATAAATCTTTACTAATCACATCATGATGGAGCCTTTCAAAATCCTGAGACACCCAGCTGCCTGAGCAATATTTGCCACAGATATTATCGGGTGAAATTGCCATTTTCATCTGCTGATAGCTTCAACAAGTAGGGCAGCACTCAGCTCATGTCCACGTTGTCGTCAGAGTTACTGCAGCATCGTTTGCAGTGGTTTCCCAGGCTCTGCATGGCTGGAGGCAGCACTCCTCTGCATCCTGCCCCATCCCTGGGCTTTTCCTCAGCATCTGGGCAGCAAAGGGGGCAGCTCAAGGGGTGTGTGGGGCCTCTGATGCCAATTTTCTCACCCAGCTTTGGTTAAGAGAGTTTTTTTGTTTGTTTGTTTGTTTTTTGTGAATACAGGCTGCACCTGTCTACTGCAGGAACCAGAGGGCCATCAGGAACATGTGCTCCATGGAGTATGTCCCCCACTGTGGGTCTGATGGTGTCACCTACTCCAACAAATGCATGTTCTGCAATGCCTACCTGTACGTATGGAATAAATCTCTTCACCTACTCAGTGGTGAATTAACTTAGCTTAAACTGGCTAATCAGTCTTGGACACTGGCTGGAGAAGTAGAGTGCTTTTATTTCATTTGTTTTTCTCTCACCATTAAGGGTAATTTTAAATTTTTTTTTTTTTTTTGGAGAGTTTGCTAGGGACTCCTTTGTTTCAGATATAAAGACACAACATTGTGTTCCACTTTTTCCTCTTACATGATTTGCAAAGAGCTTTCTCTCAGCAAAGTCTGTTTCTTAAAGACTATTTGGTCTTTTAAATGAAGAACTTTTCTTGTCTTTATATGTCAATAATAAAAGGAAATATGTGGAATGGAGTTCAGAAGTCCCTCTGTGGTGCAGAGGGACAGACCAGCAGTAAAAGCCCAGATGTTCTGTCTCTGAGGTACTGATTTCTTGCTGATTTCTTTCTCTGCAGGAGAAGCCGTGGAGTTCTTGCCTTGAGGTCTCTTGAAGCCTGTTAAGTTCTTGACAGGATTCAGCTGAGAAAGAGCATCCCTCCCTAACAATGTTCCCCATGGCAGATGACTTCCTAAACCCCTGACCCTTGAAAACCTCCTATCAACCCTGAAACTTCTGACAATAAAAAAAAAGACCCAGCATTTATGTTGTCCTTCAGTCTCATTCTGGCTTTACCTAGCAGGTTGCGTGATTATACCACTGCAACACCCCTGGGGTGTGGGAATTAATGGGCAAATTACAGGGGAGAGGGAGAAGGGTGTTCTGATCCACAAAAACATCAACCCCAACCGCAAAGGCAATGGGCAGCTTTGGTGGGCATCGGCCTTTATCCAGCTTTCCAGAAGGAAAGCCAGGCTGGGGATGCATCCTGGTGCTCCTGTCCTTCTCCTGCTCTGAGGGGATGTGACAGAGCCTGAGAGGAGCCTGGCTGAGAGGAGCTGCCTCCCTCCCCTCCCAGCTGCTGCTGTCAAACACCTGCAGCCTCCCCCAGCCTCACTCTCTGCAGCACCAAGGGGCCCCGGGCAGACCTAAACATTACCATGATTAGAGACAGCAGCAAGACTTGTAATTGGGGTGTTCTGGCACTGTTCTGCCACACAGAAGGGGTCCTGCTGGCACAATGAGCTGCTCACCCCTGTTTCAGTTCCCAGGGTTATCCCCAGTTTCTTACGCCTGCAGGAGAACATGTGAGGAAGGTCACATTCCGAGCTGCCTCCACCTCGCGAGCAGGATTGAAAACCCACCTGTAGCTGAGAGAAAGCCTTTTGCAATGTGCTCTGCTCCCCAGAGCAATGTCACAGGGAGCTTTCTCTGGGCTGCCCACGCTGGTTCATTGCTGAGGGGCACTGCAGAACACCCGTGGGCAGCCAGAGCTAACAGAGCTGCTGTCCAGGGGATGCTGCCAACCGCCGAGCCCATCTGGGCACCTCACCCATCACTTAGTGCTGGTTGAAGGTAATTACCTTGACTGTCGCTTGTGGAGGATCCTTTGAGATTCTCCGGCCTCTGGAAGCCTCGGCTGATGAAAGGAAGGGCTCAGAGTCGTGGTGTTAATTTATTATTCATTAACAGCCAGGCGCTGCCAGTGCCGCGTGCTGCAGAGGCAGCAGCCTCACAGTCAAATAGTTAATGATCTTAAGTGACAATGTGTCACTTCCCAGAGACTGCAGAGAGCAGCTCTCTAAAAGGAGACAATTTATTTCCAAAAGACATGATTCTCTGCAACCATTTAGTGCCAAG